GGACACCCCGAGGTCCCCCTGGATGGGCACTCTGGGAGCCCCTCAAGATTTCAGGATGCCCCTTCAGGACCCTCCCCAGGACCCCTTTAGGACCCCCGGACACCCCCTCTGGGATCCCCTCAGGATCTCCTGGGCACCCCCATCCAGGACACCCCTGGGGCTGCCCCAGGACCGCCCCCAGCTCCCCCTTTTTTTGTACCAAAGCTCCCAATAAAGGGTAAATCGGCCCCTGGCGTGCGATTGGCCAAACCCTGGGGCCCTGGGCAGCCCCCCTCCTTCCTGCTATGGGCGGGGGCTCAGCCCACGGGGGGATTGGGGGATTTAGTGCTGAGCTGGTGGCAGAGGGGGCCGGGAGCTCCCAGAGCTCCCCGGGAGGAGCGAGGGGCCCAGGAGCGGCCCGGACATCAGGGGGCCGTGGGGTTGGGGGACCCCAGGTGTCCCAGGGGTGGAGTGGGGGCACCCCGGGAGTGGGGGGCTGGGGTATCCATCGGGTCATGGTGCCCTGAGCTGCCATGCAGTTCAACAAGGAGAATTCCGGCGCCAGGTGGGCGCCGGGCTGGGCCGCCTGCACAGGTGAGTCCCCACCCAGGGCAGGGGGGCTTGGGGGGTGTCCTGAGGGGGCTGGGGGCAAGTTTGGGGGCACAAAGCACCTTGGAGGGGGTGGGGAGGGGATGGTTCTGCTCCTTGGCACTGCCCTGGGCTGGGAGGGCCAGAGGGTTTGCCCCCATTTCCCCCTATCTGGACCCCTGGCCGTGCCCCCTTCCCCAGTTATGTAAAGTGTGAACAGGACGGAGCCCAGGGGGGTTTGGGGAGTCTGAGAGGGACGTGGCTGGGAGGTCTCACACACGACCCCGCCGGCCCACGGCGTGTCCGCCACACGGCGTGTGCGTGTGCGTGTCCGCCACACGCGTGTGCGTGCTGCGTGTGCGTGTGCGCGTCGTCCACCCCCAGCGCCCCAGCACAGGATTTACAGCCCTTAATCTGCTGCTGCCACCGCGAGGGAGCTGGAGGGGACACGGGACATTGAGGGGGGTGGTGGGGAAGGACACGGGGACAGCTGGGGTGAGGGGGAGCCCTAGGGGCATGGGGAGGGGGCTGTGAGGCCTGGGGGGTGGCACAAGAGGGTCACTTGGGGGCACTCAGGCCCTTGCAGGTGACCCCACCCCACCCCGTGTCCCTCCTCGCAGGTTCCTGGAGCGGCGTCAGGATGGCGCTGAGGACCTGGAGCTGAGCTCGGGGGTCGGGGTGGGCACCCAGAGCCCCCCGAGGCCCCCCGTGGTGGACTGCACGTTCTGCGGGCTGCCCCGGCGCTACGGCATCGCCGTCCTCTGCGGCATCGGCTTCTGCATCAGCTTCGGCATCCGCTGCAACCTGGGCGTGGCCGTGGTCAGCATGGTCAACGGGGCACCCGGGCAGGTACGGGGTCAATGGGGTAGGTATGGGGTCAATGGGGTAGGTATGGGGTCAGGGGCAGGTATGGGGTCAATGGGGTTGTGGTCAGCATGGTCAACGGGGCCCCCGGCCAGGTACGGGGTCAAGGGGGTCATGGGCAGGGAGGGGGTCAATGGGGCCGTGGTCAGCATGGTCAACGGGGCCCCAGGACAGGTAATGAGGGTCAATGGGGTCATGGGCAGGTGTGGGGTCAATGGGGCCGTGGTCAGCATGGTCAACGGGGCCCCCGGCCAGGTACGGGGTCAGGGGCAGGTGTGGGGTCAATGGGGCCGTGGTCAGCATGGTCAACGGGGCCCCAGGACAGGTATGGGGTCAATGGGGTCATGGGCAGGTGTGGGGTCAATGGGGCCGTGGTCAGCATGGTCAACGGGGCCCCCGGCCAGGTACGGGGTCAGCAGGGTCATGGGCAGGTATGGGGTCAATGGGGCTGTGGTCAGCATGGTCAACGGGGCCCCCGGCCAGGTATGGGGTCAGGGGCAGGTATGGGGTCATGGGGCAGGTATGGGGTCATGGGCAGGGAGGGGGTCATGGGCAGGGGGGGGGTCAACGGGGTCGTGGGCAGGTACGGGGTCAGGGGCAGGTATGGGGTCAACGGGGCCCCTGGGCAGGTATGGGGTCAGGGGCAGGGAGGGGGTCAGGGGCAGGGAGGGGGTCAATGGGGTCGTGGGCAGGGAGGGGTCAATGGGGTCATGGGCAGGTATGGGGTCCAGCAGGGTCGGGGGCAGGGAGGGGTCCAGTGGGGTCGTGGGCAGGGAGGGGGTCAGTGGGGTCGTGGGCAGGGATGGGGTCATGGGCAGGTATGGGGTCAATGGGGCCCCCGGGCAGGTATGGGGTCAATGGGGTCGTGGGCAGGGAGGGGGGCAATGGGGTCGTGGTCAGGTATGGGGTCATGGGCAGGTATGGGGTCAATGAGGTCCCCAGGCAGGGATGGAGTCAATGAGGTCCCCAGGCAGGGATGGGGTCAATGAAGCCCCCAGGCAGGTATGAGGTCAGCAGGGTCGTGGACAGGTGTGGGGTCAATGAGATCAGCAGGGCCCCCAGGCAGGGATGGGGTCAATGAGGACCCCAGGCAGGGATGAGGTCAGTGAAGCCCCCAGGCAGGGATGGGGTCAGTGAAGCCCCCAGACAGGGATGGGGTCAGCAGGGTCGGGGACAGGTATGGGGTCAATGGGCCCCTGGGCAGGTATGGGGTCAATAAGATCAGCAGAGCCCCCAGGCAGGGATGGGGTCAACGGGGTCGTGGGCAGGGAGGGAGTCAATGGGGTCGTGGGCAGGTGTGGGGTCAGTGGGGTGCCCAGGCAGGTATGGGGTCAACGGGGTCAACAGGGCCCCCAGGCAGGGATGGGGTCAGTGAAGCCCCCAGGCAGGGATGAGGTCAGCAGGGTCATGGACAGGTGTGGGGTCAGGGGGCCCACAGACAGGGATGGGGTCAATGAAGCCCCCAGGCAGGGATGGGGTCAGTGAAGCCCCCAGGCAGGTATGAGGTCAGCAGGGTCACGGACAGGTGTGGGGTCAGGGGTCCCACAGACAGCTCTGAGCAGGCACAGGGACCCAGGAGGGGCAGGAGGGCTGGGGGTTTAACAGGGAGGGGGCGATGCCTGAAGGACTCGGGGGTCCCCTGGGCACAGGGGCAGGTCCAAGGCCCTCTCCAAGTGCTCCTGACCCCCCCCTCCTCCCCTCCACCAGCGCGCCCAGTTCAACTGGGACCCCGAGACGGTGGGGATGATCCACGGCTCCTTCTTCTGGGGCTACATCGTCACCCAGATCCCGGGGGCTTCATCGCCCAGAAATTCGCCGCCAACAGGTCCGGGGGATGGGGCCAGCAGGGGGGTGGTGGGGAGGGGGTGTCAGGGGGTCCCCCTCACCCCCCCCTACCCCAGGGTGTTCGGCCTGGCCATCGTGTCCACGTCGGTGCTGAACATGCTGATCCCCTCGGCCGCCCGCACGCACGTCGGCTGCGTCATCGCCGTCAGGGTCATGCAGGGGCTCGTGGAGGTAACGAGGGGGCGTGGCTGGAGGTGGGTAATGAATTCGGGGGTGGGGCCAATGCTGATTGGCTGGTGGGGGTGGGTGGGGCTGATTCTGGTTGGTTGGTTAATTACGCGGGTGGGGGACAGCGCTGATTGGTTGAGGGGGTGGAACCGGTGTTGATTGGCTAGTGGAGCGGGGTTGGGGGCACTGCTGCACTGCCATTGGCTGATAGGGCAGGGTGTGGCACTACTGTGCTCCCATTGGGTGACAGGGCAGGGCGTGGCCACTGCTGTGCTTTCATTGGCTGAAAGAGCAAGGTGGTGCCATTACTGTTCTCTCATTGGCTGATTGGGCAGGGCGTGGGCACTGCTGTGTTCCCATTGGCTGATAGACCAGGGCGTGGCACTACTATGCTCCCATTGGCTGATTGGACAGGGCGTGGCCACTGCTGTGCTCCCATTGGCTGACAGGGCAGGGCGTGGCCACTGCTGTGCTTTCATTGGCTGAAAGAGCAAGGTGGTGCCAGTACTATGCTCTTATTGGCTGATAGGGCAGGGCGTGGCCACTGCTGTGCTCTCATTGGCTGATAGAGCAAAGTGGTGCCACTACTGTGCTCCCATTGGCTAATTGGGCAGGGTGTGGCCACTGCTGTGCTCCCATTGGCTGACTGGGCAGGGCGTGGCCACTGCTGTGCTCCCATTGGCTGATGTTGCTGGGGGGGCTGAGGGTGGTGCTGAGCTCCCATTGGTGGTCCTGTCTAGGGCGGGGCAGGGCGTGGCAGGGCGTGGCAGGTTCCCCGAGGTGGGCGTGGCCCTCCCTGACCCCCTCCCCACGCCCTCCCCCTCCCAGGGCGTGGCGTACCCGGCCTGCCACGGCATCTGGAGCAAATGGGCCCCTCCCCTGGAGCGGAGCCGCCTGGCGACCACGGCCTTCTGCGGTATGGGGGGAGGAAATTTGGGGAGGGGGAGGCACAGGGACCCCCCCAAAGCCGGGACAGGACGCTGCAGGGCGGGGGAGGATCACCCTGGGCTGGGGAGGGGGATGGAGGGGCTGCAGGGAGGGACCACCCCCCCTCCACACACCCCCACCCCAGGGGTCTCACAGGATTGGGGTTCCCTGGGGGGCTCGGGTGTGGTTTGAGGGGGTCTCTGGGGGGGCTGCCAGCCCTGATGACCCCCCCCTGGCGCAGGGTCCTACGCAGGGGCAGTGGTGGCCATGCCCCTGGCCGGGGTGCTGGTGCAGTACACGGGCTGGAGCTCCGTCTTCTACGTCTATGGTGAGACCCCGACCTCCGGGACCCCCTCCCCAAACCCCCATCCCCACCCCATGCCCTCCTTCCCCCAGGGTGATTTTGGGGTGTGCTGGTGCCCTGTGAGCACCCCACCCCAGCACCCCTGACCTGACCCCTCCCCACCCTCCCCCAGGCAGTTTTGGGGTGTGCTGGTCCATGTTTTGGGTGCTGGTGTCCTACCCTGGGAGCACCCCAACCCCAGCACCCCCTCCCCACCCTCCCCCAGGCAGCTTTGGGGTGTGCTGGTCCATGTTTTGGGTGCTGGTGTCCTACCCTGTGAGCACCCCAACCCCAGCACCCCCTCCCCACCCTCCCCTGCTCCCCAGGCAGTTTTGGGGTGTGCTGGTACATGTTTTGGGTGCTGCTGTCCTACCCTGGGAGCACCCCCAGCCCCAGCACCCCTGCCCTGACCCCCTGACCCCCTGTGCTCCCCAGGCAGCTTTGGGGTGTGCTGGTCCATGTTTTGGGTGCTGGTGTCCTACCCTGTGAGGCACCCCCAGCCCCAGCACCCCCTCCCTGACCCCCTGTGCTCCCCCAGGCAGTTTTGGGGTGTGCTGGTCCATGTTTTGGGTGCTGGTGTCCTACCCTGTGAGCACCCCCAGCCCCAGCACCCCTCCCAGCCCACCCTGTGCTCCCCAGGGTAATTTTGGGGTGTGCTGGTCCATGTTTTGGGTGCTGGTGTCCTACCCTGTGAGCACCCCCAACCCTAGCACCCCTGACCCCTTCCCCAACCCCCTGTGCTCCCCAGGCAGTTTTGGGGTGTGCTGGTCCATGTTTTGGGTGCTGGTGTCCTACCCTGTGAGCACCCCCAACCCCAGCACCCTTCCCCAACCCCCTGTGCTCCCCAGGCAGTTTTGGGGTGTGCTGGTTCATGTTTTGGGTGCTGGTGTCCTACCCTGTGAGCACCCCCAACCCCAGCACCCCTGACCCCCTCTGTGCTCCCCCAGGCAGCTTTGGGGTGTGCTGGTCCATGTTTTGGGTGCTGGTGTCCTACCCTGTGAGCACCCCCACCCCAGCACCCCTGCCCTGACCCCCTGACCCCCCTGTGCTCCCCAGGCAGCTTTGGGGTGTGCTGGTTCATGTTTTGGGTACTGATGTCCTACCCTGTGAGCACCCCAGCCCAGCACCCCTCCCCACCCTCCCCCAGGCAGTTTTGGGGTGTGCTGGTCCATGTTTTGGGTGCTGGTGTCCTACACTGTGAGCACCCCTGCCCTGACCCCCACCCCCTGCTCCCCAGGCAGCTTTGGGGTGTGCTGGTCCATGTTTTGGGTGCTGGTGTCCTACCCTGTGAGCACCCCAGCCCCAGCACCCCTGCCCTGACCCCCTGTGCTCCCCCAGGCAGTTTTGGGGTGTGCTGGTTCATGTTTTGGGTGCTGGTGTCCTACCCTGTGAGCACCCCCAACCCCAGCACCCCTGCCCTGAGCCCCCTGTGCTCCCCCAGGCAGTTTTGGGGTGTGCTGGTCCATGTTTTGGGTGCTGGTGTCCTGCCTGTGAGCACCCCCAACCCCAGCACCCCCTCCCCTGCTCCCCCAGGCAGTTTTGGGGTGTGCTGGTACATGTTTTGGGTGCTGGTGTCCTACGAGAGCCCGCCCAGCACCCCACCATCACCCCCGAGGAGCGCAAGTACATCGAGGAGAGCATCGGGGAGAGCGTGGGCACCAACCCGCTGCTGGTGGGCACTGGGGGGCACTGGGGGCACTGGGGGCACTGGGGGGGTCAGGGGCACCAACCCGCTGCTGGTGGGCACTGGGGGGGCACTGGGGGGGCACTGGGGGCACCAATCCCTGCTGGTAGGGCACTGGGGGCACTGGGGGAGTCAGGGGCACCAACCCGCTGCTGGTGGGCACTGTGGGGGCACTGGGAGGGCACTGGGGGCACCAACCCGCTGCTGGTGGGCACTGGGGGCACTGGGGGGGCACTGGGGGTCAGGGGGCACCAACCCGCTGCTGGTGGGCGTGTTGGGGTAATTGTGGGGGCAGGAGGTCACGGTGGGGGGGATGGTCCCGTTTGGGGTCTTGTTGGGGTCTTTTTGGGCTCAGGAGGCCCCTTTGGGATCCTGTTGTGGGGTCAGGAGGTTGGGGGGGGCTCTGGGGCCTGTTGGGGTCAGGAGGTTGGGGGGGTCCGGGGCCTGTTGGGGTCAGGAGGTTGGGGGGATCTGGGGTTGTTGTGGGGTCAGGACGTTTTGGGGTCCAGGGCCTGTGGGGTCAGGAGGTTGGGGGGTTCTGGGTCCTGTTGGGGTCAGGAGGTTTTGGGGTCCAGGGCCTGTTGGGGTCAGGAGGTTGGGGGGGTCTGGGTCGTTGTTGGGTCAGGAGGTTGGGGGGGTCCAGGGTTGTTGTGGGGTCAGGAGGTTTGGGGTCCAGGGTCCTGTTGGGGTCAGGAGGTTTTGGGGTCCAGGGTTGTTGTGGGGTCAGAAGGCTGGGGGGGTTGGGAGATTGTTGGGGTCAGGAGGTTGGGAGTGTCCGGGGTCCTGTTGGGGTCTTTTGGGGCTCAGGAGGTTTTGGGGTCCGGGGTCCTGTTGGGGTCAGGAGGTTGTGGGGGTCTGGGGCCTGTTGGGGTCATTGTGGGGTCAGGAGGTTGGGGGGATTCGGGGTCCTGTTTGGGTCAGGAGGTTTTGGGGTCCGGGTCCTGTTGGGGTCAGGAGTTTTGGGGGTTCCTGTCGGGGCAGCTCTGGGGTCAGGAGGTCACAGTCCTGTCCCCCACCCCTTTGCCCAGATGGCCACCCCTGGCGCCAGTTCTTCACCTCCATGCCCGTCTACGCCATCATCGTGGCCAACTTCTGCCGCAGCTGGACCTTCTACCTGCTGCTCATCAGCCAGCCCGCCTACTTCGAGGAGGTCTTTGGCTTCGAGATCAGCAAGGTTGGACCCCAAAACCCCAAAACCTCCCAAAACCCTTCCCCGGGGCAGGACCCCCACTGACGGCCCCCGGGGCAGGTGGGGCTGCTGTCAGCTGCCCCACCTGGTGATGACGATCGTGGTGCCCATCGGCGGCCAAATCGCCGACTTCCTGCGCCCCGGGGCTCATGTCGACCACCAACGTCAGGAAGATGATGAACTGCGGCGGTGAGGGGGTGGGACAGAACTGGGGGTTTGGGAGGTGAGGAAGGGGGACAGGTGAGGTGGGGGGTCAGGGAGAGGGATATGGGGGCAGGGAGGGCGACCTGGGGGACAGGGAGGGGGATATGGGGGCAGGGAGGGCGACCTGGGGGGACAGGGAGGGGGATGCAGGGAGGGGGATACCAGGAGGGGGACAGGGAGGGGGTGATGGGGGGACAGGAGGGGGTGATGGGGGGCACACAAGAAGGACCCAAAGGGGACGGGGGAGAGCGATTTGAGGGGACAAAAAGGGGGACAGTGAGTGGGGGGGAAGGCCCCGGGTTTGGGGTGGGAAGAGGGGACACCCCAGGAGCTCTCGGGGGTCCCAGGGGCCGAGGGGGTGTCTGGGGCGACCCCTCCCCGCCCTCCCCCAGGGTTTGGCATGGAGGCCACGCTGCTGCTGGTGGTCGGCTACTCGCACTCCCGCGCCGTCGCCATCTCCTTCCTGGTGCTCGCCGTGGGCTTCAGCGGCTTCGCCATCTCCGGTGGGCGCCGTGGGAGGGGCACACGGGGGCGAGGGGAGGGGGCCACACACGTGGGGGTGAGTCCTGACCCCCCTCAACCCCAACCCCGGACCCCTCAGGGTTCAACGTGAACCACCTGGACATCGCCCCCCGCTACGCCAGCGTCCTCATGGGGCTCTCCAACGGCGTGGGGACCCTGTCGGGATGGTGTGCCCCTCATCGTGGGGGCCCTCACCCGCCACAAGGTCAGGGGGGCACCAAGAACCTGGGGGGGTCTGAGGGGGATGGTGTGCCCCCTCATCGTGGGGGCCCTCACCCGCCACAAGGTCAGGGGCACCAAGAACCTGGGGGTCTGAGGGGATGGTGTGCCCTCATCGTGGGGGCCCTCACCGCCACAAGGTCAGGGGGCACCAAGAACCTGGGAGGTCTGAGGGGATGGTGTGCCCTCATCGTGGGGGCCCTCACCCGCCACAAGGTCTGGGGGTCAGCAAGGGGGGATCTGGGGGTCAGGGGGCACCAAGAACCTGGGGGTCTGAGGGGGATGGTGTGCCCCTCATCGTGGGGCCCTCACCCGCCACAAGGTCTGGGGGGTCAGCAAGGGGGATCAGGGGGTACCAAGAACCTGGGGGTCTGAGGGGATGGTGTGCCCCCTCATCGTGGGGGCCCTCACCCGCCACAAGGTCAGGGGCACCAAGAACCTGGGGGGTCTGAGGGGATGGTGTGCCCCCTCATCGTGGGAGCCCTCACCCGCCACAAGGTCAGGGGGCACCAAGAACCTGGGGGTCTGAGGGGATGGTGTGCCCCCTCATCGTGGGGCCCTCACCCGCCACAAGGTCTGGGGGGTCAGCAAGGGGGATCAGGGGGTACCAAGAACCTGGGGGTCTGAGGGGGATGGTGTGCCCCCTCATCGTGGGGGCCCTCACCCGCCACAAGGTCTGGGGGCTTCAGCAAGGAGGACCCAGGGGTCAGGAGGGCACCAAGAACCTGGGGGCAGCAATGGGAGCTGGAGGGGTTTGAGGGGGATGGTGTGGGGTGTGATGGGCACTGGGACCCACTGGGACCTGGGTTTGGGGGATACTGGGACCCAGGAGGGAGTCAGTGGGGCCAGGGTGGGGGGACAGTGTGGGGTGTGATGGGCACTGGGATCCAGGTTTGGGGGATACTGGGACCCAGGAGGGAGTCAGTGGGGCCGGGGGGGGACATTGTGGGGTTTGATGGGCACTGGGACCCAGGAGGGAGTCAGTGGGGCCTGGGGACGGTGTGGGGTGTGATGGGTACTGGGATCTGGGTTTTGGGGCATGCAGGGACCCAGGAGGGAGTCAGTGGGGCCAGGGGATGGTGTGGGGTATGATGGGCACTGGGATCCGGGTTTTGGGGGGATACTGGGACCCAGGAGGGAGTCAGTGGGGCTGGGAGGGGGACATTGTGGGGTTTGATGGGCACTGGGACCCATTGGGACCCATTGGGACCTGGGTTTGGGGGATACTGGGACCCAGGAGGGAGTCAGTGGGGCTGGGGTGGGGTGGACATTGTGGGGTGTGATGGGCACTGGGACCCGGGTTTGGGGCATGCAGGGACCCAGGAGGGAGTCAGTGGGGCCAGGGGATGGTGTGGGGTGTGATGGGCACTGGGATCCGGGTTTGGGGGGGATACTGGGACCCAGGAGGGAGTCAGTGGGGCCAGGGGATGGTGTGGGGTTTGATGGGCACTGGGACCCACTGGGACCTGGGAGTGGGGGCACTGGGATCCAGGAGGGAGTCAGTGGGGCAGGGGCCAGGGGGACACAGTGTGGGGTGTGATGGGCACTGGGATCCGGGGTTGGGGCATGCAGGGACCCAGGAGGGAGTCAGTGGGGCCAGGGGGGACAGTGTGGGGTGTGAAGGGCACTGAGACCCGGGGGTGGGGGGCACTGGGACCCCAATTTGAGGCGAGGGGAACACGGGGTGGGGTGGGGGTTTGGGGGCTCGCACTAGGACCCTGTAACTCACCGCCACCCCTGGCCCCGCCCCCTTGCTCCCTTAACCCGCCCCTCACTCCCTTAACCCCGCCCCTTCCTTAACCCCGCCCATCTCCCCCTTAACCCCGCCCCTCAAATCTTTAACCCCACCCCTCTCCCCTTAACCCCGCCCCCGGGCGTTGTCCCGCCCCCGGCGCGCCGCGATTGGCCGCGGTCGGCGCGCGGCGGGCGCTGATTGGCCCGCAGACGCGGGAGGAGTGGCAGTGGGTGTTCCTGATCGCCGCCCTCGTGCACTACGCGGGGGTCGCGTTCTACGGGGTCTTCGCGTCGGGGGAGCCGCAGCCCTGGGCGGAGCCCCGGGAGGAGGCCGAGCCCCTCGCACCGGGCGATGAGGAGGATGATGAGGAGGGGGAGTACGAGGAAGGCGGAGCGGGGATGGGACCGCCCGGGGGGCCCCCGTCCGGCTACGGGGCCACCGGCACCACCCCGGCCCCCGGGGGCTCCTGGGGGATGCGGAGGAGTGAGGCGGACCACCCCCCTGCTGACCCACCCCCCAAACACACACCTCAAACCACCACTCCCCACCGGGGATCCTCTCGGGACCACCGGGATCACCAGGAACCACCCCCCAACCCCCTCCGAACTCCCCTCCCCGGGAATCCCACCGGGAATCCCCTCGGGACCACCGGGATCACCAGGAACCGCTCCTACCCACCCCCCGAACTCCCCTCCCGGGATTCCCACCTCGGGACCACCGGGATCACCAGGAACCGCCCCCCCACCTCAAACCACCACTCCCCACCGGGGATCCCCTCAGGACCACCGGGATCACCAGGATCACCAGGAACCGCCCCTACCCACCCCCAGAACTCCCCCTCCCGGGATTCCCACCGGGATCCCCTCGGACCACCAGGATCACCAGGAACCGCCCCCCCACCCCCCGAACTCCCCTCCCGGGACTCCCACCGGGATCTATCAGGACCACCGGGATCATCGGGAACCGCCCCTACCCCTCGAACTCCCCTCCCCGGGATTCCACAGGGGATCCCCTCAGGACCACCGGGATCACCAGGAACCGCCCCTACCCCCCCGAGCTCCACTCCCCGGGAATCCACCGAGGATCCCCTCAGGACCACCGGGACCACCAGGAACCGCCCACCCCCACCCCCGAACTCCCCTCCCGGGACTCCACCGGGATCATCAGGACCACCAGGATCACCAGGAACCACCCCCACCCCCCCGAACTCCCCTCCCGGGAATCCCACCGGGACCACCAGGACCACCAGGATCACCAGGAACCACCCCGCCCCCACCTCAAGCCACCACTCCCACCGGGGATCCCCTCGGGACCACCGGGATCACCAGGACCCCCCGCCCCCGAACTCCCCTCCCGGGATTCCCACCGGGATCATCAGGACCACCAGGATCACCAGGAACCGCCCACCCCGAACTCCCCGGGACTCCCACCGGGATCATCAGGACCACCGGGACCACCAGGAACCGCCCACCCCTACCCCATCCCCCGAACTCCCCTCTCCCGGGACTCCCACCCGGGATCATCAGGACCACCAGGATCACCAAGAACTACCCCCCTCCGAACTCCCCTCCCGGGAATCCCACCGGGGATCCCTCAGGACCACCAGGACCACCGGGATCACCAGGAACCGCCCCCACCTCAAACCACCACTCCCCACCGGGGATCCCCTCAGGACCACCGGGACCACCGGGATCACCAGGAACCGCCCCCACCTCAAACCACCACTCCCCACCGGGGATCCTCAGGACCACCCGGATCATCAGGACCACCGGGATCACAAGGAACCACCCCCACCCCGAACTCCCCTCCCCAGGATTCCCACCGGGATCATCAGGACCACCAGGATCACCAGGAACCGCCCCCTACCCACCCTCCCGAACTCCCTCCCGGGACCCCACCGGGGATCCCTCAGGACCACCCAGCCCCCAGACTCCCCTCCCGGGACTCCCACCGGGGATCCCCTCAGGACCACCGGGATCCCTCAGGAACCACCGGGATCCCCCTCCAGGACT